ATTGATGTTGACGGCAGCGGGCCCATCAGACCACAGCTGATATACTGCAACATGACAGGTATACACACACACACACACACACACACACACACACACACTCTTTGTACAGTCTCTTTCATTCCCCATTATATTTGTCCGTATCTCTTGCCTAGTATTGACATATCTAATAATAAAATGTATTTATATAGCATCTTTCAAACTGTTAAAAGTTGCTTTCGCGTAAAAAGTGTAATAAACACACAAAGATAATAAAATGAACTAAATACCAGCAAACTAAACTGTACTATAACACTATAAAATGCAAAAGGGTGGGATGAAATACATACAAGACAGGTTTTGCAGCCTTGACCTCTAAAGGCATTTAAATGTCCCACATAAACGGAAAAAAAAATTAAATAAATGCTTCTGTGTCTCCCTCCTCCAGAGGACCAGACGTGGACGGTGATCCAACACAACAACACAGATCTGACGAGGGTCCGACCCTCTCCAGGGAAAAATCAGCACTCGGCTCACTTTGAATACACGGCTGAAGAGGAGCAGCTGACCGCCATCATCAGCCAATCAGAGCACTGCGAACAGGAAGTGATCTACCTCTGCAGGAAGTCCCGCCTCCTCAACACACCAGGTACAAATGTGGAGTATCCTGTGTAACATCATAGAGTGTAATATAAAGTTTCACTACCAAAAAGAAAGCTGGATTAGGATTTGCAAATTAATATGACTCCTAAAATGTTAGTGCGTTTGCTCATGACAGACTTAAATGAATTAAAACAATCATTTCATAATAACAATAAATCTATTTTAATAGCACTTCTCAAGCTTTACACGTTTAAAGATTAACAGAATAAAAAAAACAACACGAACCCATGCTAGCCCCCTGTACGATATACTAAATTAGGAATATGAACACACATAATATATAATAATGATAAAGATACATTTTATTTATCAAGTGCTTTTAGGAAGTACTCAAGACTTTACATGTGCAGGTTAAAATATATACAAATCATATAAAAAACAAAACATATACTGTACCAAGCAGCACTGATGAGACCAGCAGTAAAGGGCTGCATAGTTCATTGTCCAGAAAAAAGGAAGAGATGAAAGTGTGTTTGTTGTGTTGCAGACGGCCCTCTGCTCAGCTGGTGGGTGGGGGGTCCGGGTGGAGGACAGGTGCAGACGTATTGGGGCGGAGCTCCAGCAGGAAGTCAGCAGTGTGCCTGTGGTCTGCAGGAGAACTGTGTGGACCCCAACCACTACTGCAACTGTGACGCTGGACGCACTCACTGGTACTGTACGCTTACTTAGAGCAACACAAATAAAAAATTAAGGGAAGCCTTAAAGGTCATCTATTATGCTAAATCCACTTTTTCGTGTCTTTTAAACATCAACATGTGTCCCCTCTGTGTAAAGAGACTCTGAAAGTTTCAGGAAAAAAGATTCTCTCTTTTTGTCCTGATCCATTTTTATAAAAACTTGTCTGAAAATGAGCTGATCGGATTTTGGCCGCTTTATGATGTCATAATGTTTTTTTGGCTTGTGTAACCATTAGCCAATCACCAACCAAGGTAACCCCCCCCTTATCACCTGAATCTCCTCCTAGAGCACCATTGTGTTCTTTTTAACCAAATGTCTCTCAGAGGGGCGTGGGGAGGGGCTCCTTATTTTCATCTAAAGTAACAGACAGAGAATCAGCACTTTGGAAACAGGGCTGAAACAGAGGGGATTATGGGTAATGCTGCAATGATCTGTTTGGTGTTTCAGCCAATCAGAGACATGTTCTGTATATATCTGAGACCTATAATATATTGATGAAAAACAGAATAATAGGGGACCTTTAAAGCCAGTAAGAAAAATAAAGAAAAATCTGGGATAATTTTCTCCAATGTTTCATCTGCGAAAAAATTTTGAAAAGTTAATTAGGGAGTTGTCTTGATTTGATTTGTTTTGTGCTTAAAGCCAGCAACACAGTAATGTTACGTAACTTTCTCACAAACACAATAACTTTAAGTTAGGGCTTGTAGAAGTGGAAAAACTCACCCGGAAGGAACATACATTATTTTTGTTTTAATAGAATGGACTTTTTTTATCTCCTGGCAAGATCAACCATTTCCCCCCTGTTCAACAGACGGAACATATTTGTAATGAATGAACATTATCCGGGCAAAGCCTTTTTCTTTCACTTACCTTTCAAGTTCATGGCTACAAAATCAAATCGACCGTAAGGCATGTTTACCATACTCTGAAAACACTTAAAATATAAGTTATCCTAGAATAAGATCATGATTCAAGGTTCTTTATTTTGTCATACGAACAAACAGTTATGCCGATGAAAATCTTAGGTCACAGGCTTCTCCAACTTATTCTTATTTCTTCACCTTCAACTCTTTGGTTTCCTCTTTAAATCCAGCCTCTTCCTCCCCTCTCGTCTCCTCCCCACCTCTCAGGGCGAATGACTCAGGGCTGCTGACCCACAAGGAGACCCTCCCGGTCCGCTCTCTGGTTCTTGGAGACGTCCACAGACCGGGCTCAGAGAGCGCCTTCAGGGTCGGGCCCCTGCGCTGCCACGGGGACAGTAAGTCAATATTAGGATCAGGGGCGTCCAAAGTTTTTTCACCTAGGGCCACATACATAAAAATATACGAAGGGCTGGGCCACTCACTAAGTTCAGTTATAAGTTAGCAAAATCAATCAAATGTAGGTAGATGATGCTCCTGAGTGTTGGCTGCTCATCCCTTAAAACAGAAGCCTCAGATTGATTATAATAATGAGAAATATGAAAGGTGTATTTCAAGCTTGTTATGTAAATAAGTTATTGGGCTTTTCTCTTATCAACTAACAGATATGTTAGAAAATGTTTTCAACTTTACTTGACTGAATTTATTTGAAAAGTGGTCTTATTAATAACTCATGAATACTACTGTGTAATATGTGTTTACATTTATATTTAAGTAGTACAATACAAGACAAGCACAAGTTTCATTTGTGGGCCATATTCCATTATACTTTTTGAATTAGCTGAGGGCCGATTCAAAATGGTCAGCGGGCCGTAGTTTGGACACCCCTGACCTGGATGGTGCTTATAGCTTTCCATTTATCCTCAGAGAATGTCTGGAATGCTGCGTTTTTCGACAAGGAGACGTCGTACCTCCACTTTCCCACATTCCACGGAGAGCTGAGTGCAGACGTCTCCTTCCTGTTTAAAACCACCTCATCCTCCGGAGTCTTCCTGGAAAACTTGGGCATCAAAGACTTCATCCGGATTGAACTCAGCTGTAAGTAAACCCCGTCCAGTTAGAAGTCTAATCCGCACTGCGCTCAGATGTGAGCAGGAGGGATCGACTCGGGTGTTAAAGTTTCACCTGGATTGAACTCGGCTCGAGGTGACCGTCTCAGAACTCCTCAACCCTAAAAATAATAACAAGTTTCAGCCAAGAGCGCCTCTGGGAAATCACTGCGGTGCCATGGTTCTAGTCCACTGCAACACATTTTCTTTATGCCCACCATGTTTTATAGTTATATTATCACTGTACTGTTGAAATCATCTGGCTGTAATATTATATGGTAGATCACATAGTGTGTGATGTGCTTTATGCCCTTAATATGTTATGTGTTAGCCAAAGAAAATACTCATCTGTAGACAGGTCATTCTTTATGATACCTCTATGGCACCTATACACAAATATATATATATGTTAATATTTCCACATAAGAAACTAGCTTATGCAGGAAATTGGATTCAAGGCTGCAGCCGGCCATCAGATGTCTCTCTTGAAAGTTGTCATGTTTGTTAGTGATAAGTGAAGCTGCAGAATTTGGACGGACAAAGAAATGACACCCTTTGCCTTGACACTAAAGCCTTTACTTATTCTTTTCAAATATCGGATTCTTTCTCAGGATTTATTTTAGTGTTGGTTTCAGTTTTGCAAATTTATTATGCAACACAGCGAGGCGTTTCATAAGTCATAAGGTTTTCACAACAAGACATTCACTATTTTCCGGCTTATGCCAATCCCACTTTTTTGCATTGCATACTGTATGGAGATAAATAACTCTCAATTCCCACAAATAAAAACAAAAAGTGAGAAATGTTTGTCATTTTCCAATCCACGAATAAACACCACATGAATATATGCTGTGAAAGGGCTTTGGCTTTGTTAAATATGTGTAGGAATACTTATATATATCCGTATTCCAATTACTTGTAGACTATTCTGTACAATTTCTATTCTATTTTTTTTTAATTTATTGCACAATTGTATCTGTTTTATTGTGCTGCATTGTTGGAGGAGCCTCTGACCTAAGAATGTAATTGTTTAACCGTAGCTATGCACACATGGCAATAAAAGCCTTGAATCTTGAATGAAGTATTGACTGTCTTGCCTCTTTTCCTCAGCTTCCTCTGAGGTGGTGTTCTCCTTCGACGTGGGGAACGGTCCTCTGGAGGTCCGTGTGCAGGCCGACTCTCCGCTGAATGATAACCGGTGGCACCGCATCCACGCCGAGCGAAACGTTAAAGAGGCGTCGCTGCGCCTCGACGAGCTGCCGGCTGCCACTCAGGAGGCGCCGGCTGACGGGCACATCCACCTGCAGCTCAACAGCCAGCTATTTATAGGTGTGTGTGTGTGTGTGTGTGTGTGTGTGTGTGTGTGTGTGTGTGTGTGTGTGTGTGTGTGTGTGTGTGTGTGTGTGTGTGTGTGTGTGTGTGTGTGTGTGTGTGTGTGTGTGCTGAACACATGCTCACTAGCAAGTACTAAGATTTATATACAGGAGATATTGAATGTAAGGGGCTGGGGTGAAGAAGGATGAGGGATGTTGTTTGTGAGCAATCTGAATAAAAGCCCTGGATGGTAACTGCACTGACAGAAATGATGCACGACATTAAATAGAGGGATGATGTGAGACAGAGGGAAGAGCATGAATGAAGGGTTGAAGGGATGATAGATTGTAAGGGATGTAGGGAAAGGATGAGGGGTGTAGGGGTGAAGTGATGAAGGGATGAAGGAAGAAAGGAATAGGGATGTAGAGATGGAATAATCAAATCAAATCAAGTTTTATTTATATTAGGGCTGTCAAACGATTAACATTTTTAATCAGATTAATCACATCTTAAAAATTAATTAATCATGATTAATCACCATTCGAACTATGTCCAAAATATGCCGTTTCTTTACAGGGCTGCCAACACTCACGCATTGAGCGTGAGAGTCACGCAATTAACCCATATCTCACGCACTCACGCCACACNTTTTGTTTTCATTTCATTTTTACTTTTTAGCTTTTGCAGGGCTGCCAACACACACGCATTGAGCGTGAGAGTCACGCAATTAACCCATATCTCACGCACTCACGCCACACATGCCTTTCCTCACGCTAAGTTTTCGTCCAAAATAAATGTATATAAATATAAAAATAAAGTGAAGGAACAGCAAACCGAGCGGTCTACGCAATGAGACGGTCTTCTGGCTTAGTTCAGTAAAGTTGGAACGATATTAGGAGATTCTGATTTCACGGATCAATAACTCATGAACAAAACGTTATTCAGACACAAATGACGTCTCCTACGTACCGTGGTAAGGTTGACAACGAACTACAATCACATTTTGATCAAAGCCAATATGCGCCGTCCTTCGAGCTGGACAAGTTACATTGTTCTCTATGTGCAGCCGGAGAAGAAACGAGTGCTCAGGGACCGTCTGCAAAGTGCAACTCCGAAAAAAGAGAATACAATAATATTCAATCACTATTATACATCTTATTACTACCAAACTCACTACACACATCAATAGTCTCCTGTGTGTCATCCTACAGCAAGAGTTTCGAAGAATATGTATTTGAATAATTTGGGGGAATATTTATAATGAAAATCTTCAATAAATATGGCATCATCTTAAATAACTTTGCTATTATACAGTATATTTCTACCAAACTCACTATTTGCATTGTTGTTGTTAGCATCTGGTTAGCTAGCTGCGCTAACGGATATTAGAAGCTGTTTCTAAAACAAGGAGAGGGAGAGCTCTGTCCTGTCAGACTGAGAGAGATACAGCTCAGTGAGGTAAGGGACTCTCAGTTTAGATAGTTAACTTTAGTCTAGTTATCTCAGTGGGTCTCAAACGTTTTGGTCACCATTTATGAGAATAAATGAAAAACAGTGATGAAATACTATATGACAGTAAAACAAGAATACAGTTTAAAAGGGATTTGTAAAATATCCATAAAGAAAAAGAAAATCTGTTTAGAGTTTTGTTTCATATGGGTGCTGAGAGATGTACCCTTAAATTCATTTTG